TGAGATGAGTGGGACAACATCAACTGTGTGTGTAATGAGAATCATAGAAGGAGAGGAGGGAGAAAAAGGGGCAGAAAAATATTAGAGGAAATAATGGCCCCAAACTTTCTGAATCTGATGATAAAACATTAATCTACAGATCCAAGAAGCCTGATGAACCCTAAGTATGGTAAACATACATCAGAATCAAACTGTTGGAAGACAAGGACAAAGAGAAAATCTTGAAAGCAACAAGAAAAAAATGATTCATTGTGTGCAAGGAACAACATTAGGATTTATGGCTGCCTTCTCATCAGAAACAGTAGACTCCTGAAGGCAGTGGGATAACATTCAAAGTGTGGAAAGAAAAAGAAACTGTTAACCAAGAAGTCTATATCCAGCAAAACTATTCTTCAAAAATGAAGGCAAAATAAAGACATTCCCACATAAAAGACAGAATTTGTTGCTAGTGGACTTGCCTTAAAATACTAAAGGACGTTCTTTAGCCTGAAAGGAAGTGACACCAGATGGTAACTGAAATCCATAAGAAGTGATGAACACTGGAAATGGTAAATATGAGGGTAAATGTAAGTCTATATTTTTTATCTTAATTTAAAAAGATAAGATTGTATAAAGCAAGGATTAAAACACTGTAATACTAAGTTTATAACATATGGCAATAAAGGGAGTGGATAGAAGACATTGCAGCAAGTTTCTGTATTTTCTAGAATTAAGTTAGAAGTAGATTGTCATAAATGAAAATGCATGTTGTGATGCCTAGAGCAACCACTAAGAAAAACAACAGAAAATATGTAGGAAAAAAACAACAGAGGAATTAAAATGGTATGCTAAAAACTGTTTCACACAAAAGAAGATAATAAAGCAGAACGTAGGTTAAAAAAGACATGAGACAAAAACAAACAGCAAAATGACATACATAGTCCAATATATTAATAATTATATTAAATGTGAATGGACTATCTATTTAAAAGGTAGGGATTTTCAGCCTGGATTGAAAGGCAAGACCCAACTCTGTGCTGTCAATAATAGAAATAGCTTAGATGAAAAGACACAAATAACTTGAAGGTAAAAGGGTGATAAAAGATAATGCAAACAGTAACCATAGAAGAGCTGGAGTGACTGTATTAATATCAGATAGTTTAAGAAGAGACAGGAACGTGTTATAATGACAAAAGGGGCAGGGCAATATATGAGGAAAACATAATTAGAAAAATATAACAAGAGACTACCAAAATACATAATACAGAAATTGGCAAATTAGAAGAAAAATAAACAATAATAGTTGTAGATTTCAATTTCCCACTCTCAATAATTGATAGAACAGTTGCACAAAAAATTAGCAAGGATATAAAAGACTTCAGCAGTATCAACCAACTTGACGTAACTCATATTTATTGAACACTTCATGTAAAATACATTTTTTTCATGCTCACATGGAACAGTCTTTTTTTTTTTTTTTTGAAACAGTCTTGTCTGTTACCCAGGCTAGAGTGCAGTGGCCTCATCATAGCTCACTGCAACCTCAAACTCCTGGGCTCAAGCGATCCTCCTGCCTCCGCCTCCCAAGTAGTTAGGACTGTAGGTGCACGCCACCACACCCAGCTAATTTTTCTGTTTTTGTAGAGATGGGGTTTCACTCTTGCTCAGGCCAGTCTTGAATTCCTGATGTCAAGCAATCCTCCTGCCTTGGCTTTCCAGAGTGTGAAGATTGATGACAGGTGTGAGCTACACCTTGACGGAACGGTCTTTAAGAATATTCTGGGCCATAGAACAAACCTCAATTATTTTTAAAGACTGAAATCATACAAAGTATGTTCTATGACCACAATGGAATTAAAATAGAGATTCATAACAGAGAGAAATCTGATATCCCCAAATATTTGGAATTAAACCACATACTTATAGGTAACTTACAAATCAAAGAAGAAAATTGTAGGGAAAATTTATAAATATTTTTAACTAAATGAAAATGAAAATACAACATACCAAAATTTATGGAATGCACCTAGACCTATGTCTAGAGGAAGATTTATAGCTTTTGTAATGCCTGTATATTAGAGAAGAAAGGTTTCAAGCAAGAACCTAAGCTTCCACTTTAAGAAACTAGATAAAAGAGCAAACTAAACCTGAAGCAAGCATGGGGAAGGAAACAATAAGGATCACAATGGAAAAATATGAAATGGAAAACAGAAAAATAATAGAGAAAGCCAATGAAACCAAAAGTTGGTTCTTTGAAAAGATCAACAAAATTGACAAATTCCTACCTAGACTACCCAAGAAAATAAAGAGGATATGAATTACCAAAATCTGGAATGAAAGAGAGGTCACCATTACCCTACAGAAATTAAAAGGATTATGAGGGAATATGAACAACTTTTCCCAACAAATTAGACAATTTAGATGAAATGGAAGAATTCCTAGAAAGACAGAGGTTATCAAAACTGACTTGAGGAAATGGAAAATATAAGAGATTTATAACAAAGGAAATGAATTAGTAATTAAACTTTCTACAAAGAGAAACACAGGCCCAGGTGGCTTCATGGGGGAATTCTGTCAAACATTTAAAGAAGCAAGCTGGGCATGGTGGAACACACCTATAGTCCCAGCACTTGGGAGGCTGAGGTGGGAGGATCACATGAGGCCAGGAGTTGAAGGCCAGCCTGAGCAACATAGCAAGACCTCTCTCTAAAAAAA